CTATCTGTATTCAGCCGCGCTCGTCTCTCTGAAAAATTTTCTAGTGCGCACCGATCAAATCGTTTTCGATGGGGCGCTCTGTTTCACGGACCCAGTTTAGCCCATTGCTAGATTAAAAGGGTCCTACGGACCTTGTCCATCGTAGTACGATATCGGAGTTATCTAATAATGTTGAGTTAGTTCGTTGTTTACTACATCATTCCTGTCAATAATTCAGCCACGAGGTTGCCCGAGCTGTTGAAATTTTTACCATTTTTAGGAATTTGCGACGCCTGGTGATGAGAATTCTGAAAAACCAAGTGGCGGACAAAAAACATTCCCAGTGAGTTGTGTTTTTGGATTGTCGAATACAGCGCAGAACTACGAACCCTGAACGTCGCATATGTTGGCGGCGAAAATATTCAGAGTAGCGCTTTCATTGAGCGAGACTCTTTGATGAATCCGGCTCTCTGCAACTTCGATTTGTTAAAGACATTTAAGACGCATTCCGCGGTAATCATTTGGGAGGAAACGGACTTGTTGGTGCTCTTTTCCTCTCTACTGCCTTGAAAGTAGGGGCGCTGTAACCATGGAGGCACAACCGTTGTTTACACCCGGTCTGCGCGGACACGGAATGTCCGGGCAGACTGGGTGGAAACCCTGAAGGCGGGACAAAAGTACTTTGCATGTGCAGACGGAGTATAACCTTACTAGGTTGTTTCAATCTGAGAGGGCTTTCCTCGACTCTTGGGAACCTGATTTAGCTTGTCAGTCGCTCTAGTTTGTCAGTCGCTCATGAGAGTCAGTTATTATTCGCTTTCATTCAATTTATCTTCCTTACATGTTTAATGACCTGAACTGTTGTGTGTTAAGAGGAAATCCAACGAACCATTCCGTCGTGTGACAATAACGAAGGATTCCTTACCGGATAAATTTAAGGATAACTCTTACAATAAGGTACGAGATCTACTTGGCGTTTCTAAATTTGACTCAGACACTTTGAACGCCGCTGCCTTCGCTGCACGTTTCCGAGATTGATGTTTCTAGATATTCCCATATCAATGGATTGTTTTCGAAAGAGTTGATTATGGTAAACTGATATTATATTTTTATGGCTCAAATAAGTTGTTCACCCGATACTTCGCGGCAGCGTGCAGCAGCCCTCACCAGCGACCATCAGCGTTCAGAAGTGAAGAGTACGGGGAAGTAGGAGGGGGGGGGGCAGACAGCTGGATTTGGCGTCGTGACATACATGTGCAATCGTACCGTAACACTACAATCGTACCGTAGAACTACCCAATACTGAACATTTAATTGCATGATTCTGTGCTTGGCAGTTCACGATGCGTTTGCACAAACCGCAATTTCACGATGCCTAATCAAGCTGTCTGCTCTCGCCCACTTTCCCATACTCTCCAGTACTGGACGCGGGAGGGAGCCGGTAGACGTTGATGGACGCTGGCGTTCGCTAGATCGATACCCATACTTTCCTATCGCTGGTACTGACGAACGCTCGAAACGCTAGTGATCGCTGGTGGACGCTGCTCTAAAGTATGAACGCAGCCGCAGGCACCGTTCAATGTGTTAATATGGCTGTCCTTTTTCTTATTATTACCAATGCAACTGTTTCAGTCACATGATCAGTGGGGAGCTAAAGCACACGAAGCGTTGAGCAAAGTGCAAGGAAAGGGATTCCGGCATGAGAAAACGAAAAAGAAGAAGGTTTAAGGCTACTATTTAAAAAAACTTAGTTTCAAACTCGATTGTATATTTTGTTAGGTGATTTGGCCATGTTCTAACTTCATTTGTTCTCTAGGGAAGTTATGGTGGAGGACCAATCAGCACGGCCGTGAATTCCATAAAGTTCTCGGATAGCGAGTGATGTTATTTGTTGCACTTGTTACTATCGTTTTTCGTGTTTGGCTTTGTTGGAAGTACGTTAATTGTTTCCTCTTCATCAGATAAATCAGTAGATTGTTAACGGTATTTTTGTTACATTCTGTTCTACTTTGTATAACTTTGATGAATATTATATACTAGGCACACCAGCTGCAAATTGTTGATTTATGTCGATTTTGGACCCCGCTCAATAAAGTGGTACTGTTTCCTCTCGAATAATGGTGTTTGTGTTTATGCAATTGAATATCTTAATTGTCCAACCTTGTGAGATATATTTCACGGAGGTGTGTGTTCTTCTTCGAGCTGTTTGTTTCAGAAATGGGAAAACGAAACGGAGACGAAAGTTTAGCGGATGCTTCTCTAAACGAAAGTGCTTTAGTGGATGCCCCAACAACTGCTAAGGATGAGTATGAACATCTTTGTTCTTTGGTAGGTATTAGTTGTGTTCTGTCCCACTTTTGGTCCACGCGGGTAGAAAATTGATAATTGGGATAGAAAAAAAATGGCGTCAAGGGGTAAGATGAAGGGAGGCGCGGTGAGACTAGGCCGAGTCGCTCTGGCTGTTTGGCGCTATTTAAAGGTAGGTCTGGGTGAATATCTTTAGTTTTACGGCTAGAGAGGCGTAGTAGGTGGAGTCAGAATGCGGCCTGCCCCACCAAACTGATACATCACAGCTGCATGGTCAGGTCACCTAGCTACTAGCTAGGCGATACTCCGCTAGTTTGGGTACACCTCGACTTGCTAAACTATGCAATATGGAGGTGTATCGATAGTCTCGAGTCGTGCCAACTGACGCAAAATAGCGTAGTGGTACTGAATTAGTTTACATGAAAAACGCAGCACAGCCATACTGTACGAGAATGGCTCCTAGTGCGAAGAGTCGTTATCACAGGGCCATTTTCGCCGCTCTTGCGCCAATTCGGGACTAACGATCACAATCTGTGATAGGTACCCCCCGCGTTGGGGTTGGGAAGAAATCACTATACATTGTGAGGGAGCAGAAGGAAAAATGTTGCTGCGTCACTACGCCCCCCACTCTCGGCATTAAAGGCAAAATGTGTGTCAGGAAAGCATATTTCATCTGCAAAGATGGTGATTGTTCCTGCTTACAATGGCTGTACTTCTTATTTCATCTTGAACGTAGAGAAAATACTTATTGTTAGTGTGGAGCTGTCAAACTCTATCGGGATCACTGGAAACTTTTTCGGGAAGCCTATTACTGTAAAGTTCATTTCCAAATCAGAGATGAGTGATTGGTATGAATGAAATGACAGAAATGCAACAGCTGAGTATTAGCGGTTTCACTTGGTGCAGCTAAATATGTACGGACCTGCTCCCTGTGAAGAAAACCATGCTACTATTTCTTTTTTCAGTTGATCGCTGTTTATATGTTGCTCTACAATTTTATAGCTTAACTGGCTTCAGGTGAACGCAATAGCGAAACCACTAGCGAGTAGGAAGTTGGCCAAGAAACTGTATAAATTGGTGAGGAAGTCGGCCAAACATCAACATTATCTTCGTCAGGGTTTGAAAGACGTTCATAAGGCAATCCGTAAAAACGAGAAGGGTATTATGGTCCTTGCAGGTGAGAATTTAGCTTGTTTTTCGAAAAAAAAAGCTATTTAGAAATGATGTGTTCTAGGTAACGTGACCCCAATAGACGTTTATTCGCATATTCCTGCGTTATGTGAAGAACATGAAATACCGTACGCTTTCACACCATCACGGGAACAGCTGGGCTTAGCAGCAGGTCATCGGCGTCCAGCTATCATACTTCTTATTCGGCCCCATGCTGATTACAAAGAGTTGTATGATGAGGTAAGGGGAAAATATTATGTTGGAGAACGCGCTCAATTCACTTTCCATTTTCGTAACTTCTTCTTATCCGGACAGCCTGAAAGAGCTGATTTCGCTGCCAGCCTATCCTATACTGCCTTAATTCGTTTATATATTTTTAACTGCGAAATTCCGATTTAGGGTATGGGTGATTAGAAGTCCCGCGCGCATGCTTTTGCTACGATTTTATACAGGGGCGATACAACCCCTGATAGTCAGCGGTAAAAATTGTACAGTTCTTTCAGGGCAAGGGAGGGAGTAGAAAGTAGGCAGCGGGGATTTGGAAGCTAGTACTGGTAACGTCGCACCACGGGCGAGTCTGCCACTATGTGAGCAAGAGCTGTGAAAAGAAAATCTCCGACAAACAGTTCACTCGACCCCCCCCCCCTCATGTCCATGCAAGTGTAATAGAATTGAGAGAGAGACTAGATATCGCGCTAAGGTTGCGTTCATACGTTGCGTCAGCATAGGTCGGCGACCAGGAAAGTATGGATATCGATCTGGCGAACGCTGCGTTCTGGCGAGCACTTTGAGCTCGTGCAAAAGTGTCCGCGAAAACGCTGCTGTACGCTGGCATACTCTGGCGTTCGCTAGATCGATATCCATAATTTCATAGTCGTTGGCATACGCTGGCGCGACAGCCTAAGTTAGTGATGTGAACAAGACAGTCTTCCGATCTACAAAATCCAGCCACATGAATCGCTCAGTAGATGAGGAACCAATCCGTTCCCTTCCACGTGCCATATAACTCTTGTTTCCCCGTCTGAGTGTTCAGTCGCTTTGGTTTCCTGCTGTGCGATTCGTTGGGAGTGATATCCATTATTCAAGGTGGAGTGAGGAGGAGATTATCTCCTTAACGTTGCTCAGCTTTGATTTCAGAACAGGTTTTGTTTCATTCTCGAGCGCGCATTAATCTTTTTTCTACCTAATACTTCCTTCGTCAAATGTTTATTACTGGCACTGTGTCACAAAAAACAAATTCATGACAGTAATTTTAAGGTCTACGAAGTCGTTAATGCTCTCGTCGTAGAATGATCTTCTTGACTCGCTTTCTGTTTTGTTACGACTTTTATTGTTATTTGTTTGACTTTGATATTAAAAAAGGTTGTTATTTTTGACATTTGATGTTAACAAGTTGATTCATATGCGGTACATTTCTGTTGCCTTGTACATTTCTACCGATTCATTTGCTCTACAAGACAACTAACTGGAATAAATGTTGTGCTGATTGCCATGTCTCATTTTTCTGTCACAGTTTTTTACGTCTTCGTGGCTCGCCCAATGTAACCAGGCCAATACTCACTGGAATAGAATTTTCAGCGAAGTCAACTTCGGGCCACATTGATCTGCGAATACGAGTGCATTAGAATATTTTGGTGATGAAAAACATGCTAGCACTTTCACTGTTTTTACGCAGTGAGAAAGTTTGGTAGAAATTCGTACTTGAGAATGTCATGGGATGACATTTGACAGAGGCGCAACAAAACATTAAAGCCAGGCCAGAAAATGATGTCACAATTCATCATGACTCACTTTGTGTACTGCACGTTGAACAAAGTATAGACACACGATTGGCTCTGGTCAGGTGGAGGTTGGCGGTGCGGTAGCGGGGCGGAGCATGAAAACAGCGCCCGTGTCGCTACCCTCGCCCGCTTCACGTGTACAGATTCAAAAAAGTGGCAGGCTACTGCAGCTGCAGGCCATTCACCCCACACACGGCAAGCACCAGGGTGCACAGAAGTGAATGCCCATTTGTCTTCGAAGGGACTGTGTTGACTTCTTCAGTAGACCCTAAGCCTTGTTCAGAAGAGGCCGTTTCGATTGGCTGACCAAACAGCTTGATAAGAATACGGACCAACAGGCAGTGAGGGCATACCCAAGGTTTATGGTCCGATGCGAAGACCATAGATATCTGTCGATATGTTATATCAATCCGCCTAGTGCATCTACTGTGCGACTTGCCCTCGGCCATTTACACCATGCACACACTCACACGACTCAATTCAATGCACTACTTATGAATGGTATGATTTTGGGAAGTAAAATCGGTGCTAACGTATTTGGGGGAGGGGGGACCACGCGGCCTGTGGTGTGCGATGACTCATCTACTCTTCTGCTCGCTCCTCGGCAAAATAGAAGTAATTTTGTGTTAGTTCTGTGTCTAGGACATGTACATAACACCGACCTAGCTATATTAATACAGTAACGCTAAAAAGTCCGAAGAAACAGTTGTGGGCTGGAAGATTTTTGAATCAACTACAAAATTTTGTTGCCTGTTTGTTGTTGACTGTTATTGTTGACTACAAAAGATCAAACATTTGTTTTCGGCTTCCGTGGGATTTCTCAGCAAGTTCCCGGTGAACCTTGTTTGTTTTATTCTAATTTGACTGCTAGAATCGCGCTTTCAAGTATGCCGATGAGTCATCACTCGCCGCGAGCCGCGTGGCCCCCCCCAACTACGTTAGCACCGTAAAATGAATTGTAGTCACCCATTTACAGCGACTATCTATTAATTGGTGTTGCATTGCACGGTGTGACTTCTACACCACACTCAGCTGGAGTTCCTCTGAAGATACGCCGTACACTGAGCTCCGAGAATCCTGCTCTGTGCCACGCGAGAGGTGAACGGGTCTTAATCTGTCGAAGTGTCCACTTTCGTTACTTGAAAGTGTGCCTAAATGATAGGAAATGCAAGCACGCAGACGCAGCGTGCGTTGCGCACGAAATAGGTCATGTGGCTTAAAATATAGGCCTAGGAACGCTGACTAATTGGTCTGCGACTGGTCTCAACGTCTGGTTTGTTCTGCTACCATTGGTTCGCGATGGAGCTTGGCGTTCATTTGTTCGCATGCGGGAGCCTCGGATTGAACGCGAATGCATAGGTGCAGATGCGATGGATGGTCGACGATGGCGGGTATGAGAACATAGGATTTGTCTATCATCAATTCGCGCGGGCACAGTCATTGTTGAGGAATCCCCATAGGGGGGGGTCGTATTTGGCAGCAGGAAGAAGGGGGGGTAGAGAGTCGTAGTGGTGTATGAGGGGGGTAGCACAGTAATCTGAGCAGAACGCAAACGGTCTCCAGTGTGTTGAAGGTTTCAGAGTAGGGATCGCCTTTGTAGAGACTCGGGATATGTAATAGATAATAGTAAAGAAATACTCTCAATCCATGCATTAATCCGAAATAACTGAAATTATTTATTAATATAACGTCGCAAATTATCTCGGTAGTCCGTGATGCTGAAGTGCAAACTCCTAAGCTCTGGTTCGTCTGGGATGTATGGGGCGAGGTCGACGAAATTATGCTTGTGGACGCTGAGCCGAACTCTTTTTTCACAAGAGTGAACAGGATACAATAATCGTTCGTACAGACTGTTATTTCCCAGAGTTGAGTCCAGATTTATCGAGCCCAAGCAAATGGCGGAGCAATTTGGCGGCGTCGCACTCGAAAAGCTCGCATATCAATTCATTTGGGAAGGGAACACTGTAACACCGTTGACGGCAAGGTTAGCTGTATGAGATATCCTGACATTCTATAGGGCACTTTTGCTCGCGTGGTCAGAGCTTTAGGAAAGAGGTCAAGTATAAGAAAGTATTTGCACCATCAATCTTCGACCTCTGCCGACTCAGTGTGCGACCGGCGCATCCAAAAAGTCGCGTTATTGGCGTAAGAACAAATTCTGCTCGCTGCTGTACCACAGAGGATCACGTTTTGTCCATAGCATGTCCTGGTTGTTTCGAGCACGCTCACACATTGAAAAGGTACAGAACAGGAACGGTTTTTTCAGCGCAGCATGGGAGTGTTCCCAGACAATCCCATTAGCGAAGATCTCATTAATCGCAGAAGTTCAGAACGCATCAATAGAGGTTTTTAGAAGAGAAATTTAAACAATCGTACCGTTCTAGATTTATGAAGCTGTTGAGTTTGAAAAATATATGATTCAAATTACTTCGTGGAATCCACTCCAACGAATCTGATCTTATGATGGAAGAATTTCATCTGTGATTTTTGTGACCTGTTCAAACGTTTCAGAACTTTTAGGAAGTTGCAAAACCTTCTTACAGCGATACGGTCTACTCTTCCCCTGGGTCGCTTTTGAGGAAAGCTTTATGGTCCTTCAACGAACCTAATGCATTGCTCTGAAAGTTTGCGGAGCTGAGACAAGTGCTAAACAGATGACGAATTAATACTCCAGTCATGGCTGCAATTACATATACGCATTTTTTTGACCGCACATCCTATTACATGGTGTAATGCATTTTTTGCGGCCATTATCTTTTACTTGATTTTTTTCTGTTATAGATCACCGGCTTTTTTGTTTTTTCTGTTTTTAGATATAGTTCATTTATCGACGCATTTATGCTGTGTTTATGATATGAATTGAAACTGTTTTTTGATTAAAACGCTTGCACAATTAAGTAAATTAAACTAAGTGCAACTTAGGTAGGACTCTTTATATCTAACATTATTTTTTTATACTCTAATTGTTTATATCTAATTTCAGGAAGTATGTAACGTCAAACAGTAAAAAGGGGGGGGGGTCGTACCGAACCCCCAAAAAGGGGGGGGGGTCGTACAGGCTCGACCAAAATCCCCATCGAATGCTGTGCCCTGATTCACGCTCCAGCCTCACTTCTGCGCCCTTTCCAATAACGAAAAAGGTATATTTCCACAGTTGCAGCCCCTTTACCTCACATGACATCTACCAACCTCCCATATATGCGTGCAGCTTGCTTTTAAGGGCTGTTCACAACCTCGCCAATGGCTGTCATGTTGCAGACGGTTTCAACGCATACTAGAATCAGGCAACGTTCATGGTTCGTGCTACGCTTTGATGTTCGCTGAGTCCGCCATTGGGCGGAACCATTTACGTACCGGTCGGGGGGACTGCGTCTTTTATTTCTGGAATGAGCAGCTGCAATTAGAAGCGGGACGCTTTTGACAGCCTTCTTTTCGCTCATCATTTCACTTCGTTCAATTAGCTAGCTTGCATTGATTGCACTGGTTTCCCTTTTCGTTGTCCCAGTCCTAGAACGCCTTGTGGCTCGCAATGAGAGCTCTTTGATGATGAGCCAAAAAAAGAAGAGCTCTTTGATGATGAGCCAAAAAAAGAATGGCAGCAAACGCGCTCTACTTCCGCGTGCATGATCACGAACCACAGAGGTCACAAACTATAAACACTGCTTTAGCGTATTTTGTGCGAGGTAGCACAAATCGTTCTATTTGTCCGATTCTCTCAGTTATGCCACTGTTGTCTCAGAATTCTTTACTCCGTTAGTTATTTAGCTTTTTCGCGTGCGTTTGCATATGCTTAAGCCACATTGTCGCTGGGTGCAGTGATCGCTCTCCCATAGCATACCAAGCCTTTGGGGTGCAGAACGTTCAGAACGGTTGCAACTGCTCTTTGATTATGAGTTGTCAGAGAACTTTTGCTTGCAACCAGAGAAAAGAAGCCACACGGCCGGTAGGATGATTTACCCATGTCGTCGCTCCTTCTTCCCCTTAGCTCATTGTCAGATAGATATCACCATTCTTTTTTTTACAATCGTTTCTTCACACTTCCTGTAAATAAATGTCGTTTAACACTGAGAGGAAGAAACTGCGCGGAAACAAAACCCACAGCTTTGAAAAATTCCTTGTGCAAAGGCGCGACCACCATAACGAACTATTCCACCAAATGGCTCGGTACATTATGTGGGGCCCGCGTTTCAAATACACCTGGATCGCAGCGGACGGTTGGGCGTGTCAGGCAGTATGAGTGTGTCACCCCGTCAAAGCCGTTCTCTGCCTTCTTGTTGAAGCGCGCATGCGACAAAAAGTGGTAGAAAACGAGTAATACGAACGATATGATACAGTCATATCACTTGCTCGCTTTAACAACTGGTGGAGAACGGGTTTGGCACCGCGCCAAACTCATCCCGCCTGACACGCCCAACCGTCCGCAGCGAAGCTCACTATAAGTTACTTGTGTGGATAGGTGGTATTTTCTATGTAATGTGTTTCTTCTCTTACTGTGAGAAATTATGAAATTTC